CCTTCCCCTTCCTCCTCTTCTTCCTCATCCTCCTCCTTTTTTTCCCGCCTCTTCCTCCTCCTCCTGCCCCACTGCACCAACCACGGCCGCTCTGGTGGCCGTCACTCACACCAGCATCACACACATCCATGCCACAACAACAGACACCATCCCTCCAACCTCCGACTCCAGGGGTGAGGACCAGGACTAGACCTGCCCTCACTGCGACCGCAACTTCACCTCACGCATCATCCTGGTCAGTCACTTGCGAATTCATCGCACGGAGACTGGCGAACCAGTGCCTGGAGCACCAACCTATACCCACCAAGCTCGCCTCCACTGCCCACACTGCCCTCGCACTTTCACGCATCGCATGGGCCTACTCGGCCACATGCGCATCCACGACGACCTGCGGTAGACAACCGCCGGCTACACCACACCATAACATCCTCCCCCCTGCCTCCATCACCGCCAACACCACCCCGCCACACATCAACACTCACCCACCGCAAGCCCCCAACTGCCACTTCCCACGCAAGTGGGAAGTCCGCATCTGGACTCGGTCCCCATGCGGCTTCGGCTGCACGGGTGACTTGAGTCTGAGACTATCCCGACACGTCAAGCGTCGTGGATAGGAAGGTTGCTGATTGGCGCCCCAACTCAGTCCACGCAGTTTGTCCCGTTGTGAGTGTGTTGTGTGGAGTGGCGGACTGGTGGGCTGGGAACGGGCTGAAACAGCACCTACCACGGCCCTCTCACACAACCCCCGTTGTGCGAAATCCTGGTGTGTGTGCGTGTATGCGGGGCCAGGTCGTGCACGTGACACGCGCAGTCAAGGTCAGTCGACCATGCCAGCCACCGCGCCCATTTCCCACTCCATTCTGCTGACCGGCTCGGATAGCGGCTGGGGTGTGGGAATGGGAAGGGAGAGTGAGGTCGACGACTCAGCGCACTTTCTCCCCACTATAAACAACCTGACACGCTTGAAGCTATCACGGTGCGCTAAAAGCCGTGGCTTGGAAGGTTGCCAACTGACGGGATAGCTTGGATCTCCTCCTCGACTGGTAGGGGTCTGAGAGTCAGGCTGCAATGGCTTCTTCTTAATGTGGCCTTTATGGCACTCCCACCACAGCGTGGGATCCGAGCCACGCGTAGGTGGCACGCCTAGATGCGGCTTCGGCCGTGCCAGCCTTCAAGTTCTGTTGTGTTGGTTGAAATCCTGGTTATTTGTTGTGTGGACCAGAGGGTGTGGTGGAACGCCAAGGTGAGGATCCGTCCGAGCCATCCACCTGTAGCCTCCCTCGTCTCCGGTCTTCTTGACTCTGTCTTGACACCGGGCTCGGGCGAGGGAAGATGAGAGAGTGTAGGTAGATGCGGAGCAAGTCTACCGGCACTATAAACCCCTGCGTAAGTCACCGTCCCTGCTCCCATTGCTGCTGCAGCTGTGGGGCACACGGTGGACATCATCGAAATCGATGGTCGAACTGTCACAAGTGAAGAAGGGTATTCGAGCGCCGTAACATTCTGTTGATTGTTCTGGGCTTTCGAACTCGTGCAGGGACCTTCCGTCAGAGACAATGGCAGCAACAGAACAAGCGACCGTCATAGGGCGTGTTAGCCAATCATCGACTGACGGTGCAAGACTGGAGGTGACTGCGCAGGGCTCTGTACGCCGGCGCCAGATCGATAAATCGATTAGCTGAGTTCTTATCCGAGGCCTAGGCTTCAATACATTCTCGACCTGTTATGTTTCCGGCGTGGGCGACTATTTCGGTGGCTGCGAAGTTGAACTCATGCTCTATTTCGTAGGTGTGGGCGGCCACATGTGATAATGTGTCGCCTCGTCGAAAAGGCAGCTTATGTTCGTGTACGCGCAATCCGAGCATGCATCCAGCCTGACCGGTGAAGTTACAAGGACAGTTTTGCAAGGAATGCGATACACTACTCCAGATTGCTTCTCAGGCCTTAGCCGGTCTTCAATTTTCATGGCTCTACTGCGCATGGTGAGTTTAGGCCGGTGTGCAATTGCCAGGCCTAGCTCCGCAGCAATGCGCTTGGTTGCTTCTAAAACGTTCTTATTATACCATATCATTGGTGGTGTTGATGTTTAGGTCCTCTGAGAGCGACCACGCAGTCAGCAACTAATGAATGCCTTTAGGTAGCCATTTTGCACAAGATGATCGCAGAGATAACTGGCCTAACTTGCGTTTTCCTCCGGTTTGCTGCAATGAGTTTGGATCCGTTTGAAGAGCGTCTTCACGCAGCTTCGTTTGTGAGCTACCGGGTAGCTGCTGTAAAAACGGAGAAGCTGCATGGTGTTCGTTGCCTTCCTGTGAACCGTCGTGTCAAGTTCACCATAAAGGTTCCGTCTGACAAGCACATCAAGGGAAGACAAATGCTGTTCCTGTTTTTCATCCCTTGTGAAGTTTATATCAGGGAAAACTGCGTTGGGCAGGTTGTGGAAATATTGTAGCACGTCCTTCTTAACAAATACAAACATGTCGTCTACGTAACGGCGCCAAAATACCGGCTCATGTTGGATGAAGGCAATCTTTTCTAGCTCCTGTAGGACCAGTTCTGCAACTAAACCGGAGCCTAGTTAACCCACTGGAGTTCCGTTCTTTTGCTCATAGGTTTTTCCAAAAAAATTGAAGAAATTTTGTTGGCAGAATTCAAACAGCCTCATGAAGCGTTCAATATTGAGTGCATTTTGAGCCTTCTTGTACGTCTCTCTAAGTCTCCTGCGCAAGACTTTGCGAGTCATGTTTGGTGGGATGGATTTGAATAACGACATCACGTCGAAGGAGACCATGATTTCGTCCGATTGAATCCTCCGACTTTGGACGTCTACGAGGAATAAAGAGGTTGATCGTACTGAGGCAGTCGAATTGCCTTGGAGGAACTTCAGTTTTGAGTAAATCTACTTTGCTAAATTATAGACGCAGCTGCCTTTTAGGGCAATGATTGGTCGCAGTGGGACATTTGTTTTATGTATTTTTGGCAGACCATAGAATCGGGCTAGAGCGGTTTCAGTTGCCTTCATTTGGTGCCATTCACTTTGCCATCACCCTGCTTTCTTAATATTTATCCTCAAGCCAGGTTTCAGACATGCGTTCTTGGAGGTAAGAATACCGACTGGCTATACATACAAATCAGGCCATGGAATAGAGGGGGAAGGCTAGGTGGTGGCCTATGCTTATCACATCTTCGTAAGCTGTTTCTTTTTTATCTCGTAAGCGTGCCACAATTCGGACTTTATGTTGGACCACAAAGTGACGCATTGGGCTTTGCAGGCACTGCGCACAAAGATCACAGGAGATTGGCAGTTTGAGAAGATGTGTAAAAAAGGGTTCAAAATGAAGTAGGGTGACAGCTTAACGATGGATTTGATTTTTTACACAGGTATTTGGGACCAAACTCGCTCATTGGATTAAGCAATCAATATATACATCAATCAAAGAATTTCCTACGTTCCTCCAGTTCAAATACCATCATTGAAAATTCTGCACATTTCTAAGGGTTAGGTTTACTCGGAGAAACCGTTTATCGATTCTCGCCTTTCCTTTGGACGTATTATTTGGGATGCATTTCTGATAACATTCTTTCATGGTCGGGTAGGATGGATTTTTAAATTTGTGATTTGGAGAATGCAGCTGAGACGGCTTGTGCTTTGGATCGGGTTTTCGTACAAACTGCAATATATCCCATAATTTACGACCCACTATTGTCCAGAATGTTGAAGGTGGTTTGGCGCAAAGTCACTTTCCTGAAAGTGACGCCATACATTTCCCGAGTTACTACTGCGTTCGTCTAAAAGTTTGGATTTTACTCTTTCTTATAGTCTGAACTGTTTTCATATATTTTAAACTGGGCTGAATCGTGGGATCGAGATAGAAAGGTTAAAATATACCCACACGTAAATATTTGGGCCGAAACTAATAGTCTTCCAATATAATTTAGTAAAACATTATGCTGAGTATCTCAACAAATGACTTTACATTAACCGTGACATCTTAATTCGAAATCTGTTGTCCTCTAATCTGTTCACCGAATATCTCCCAGGTTTTTAGCGATATCTCTTATGATTTCGCCAACTGTATACTTTCAGGATGATATCCAATTTATACTTTACAATTCAAATTTTCCAATATGCGAAAATAACACCAGATACAATATAACCGAAGCCGTCATTTTTCACGCAATCTCAAAGTGTGTGCGGACCTCCTGTACGTATTCGCTACTTGCCAGGTTTCAACCGTCTTCGTTTAAAAAATTCACGTTCTTCCAATGGTGCTTTTTTATTTTTCTAGCATAGGAAGCTTAAGCGGAGCTTTCTCGACGTAAAGCCGACTCCTTTGTCGTTTTGTTAACAAGGTAGATTTTGAACAATTAAATTACAAGACTTCGACGTAATCAGGACATCTGTTCTGTTACTTAATTTCTATTAATTTATCCAGTAATAATAAAATGCTTGCTTCGCAGTATTTTGCTTGAATCCCACCGTTACTTACCTTTCACAATTTTCCGCAAGTCGTCAATATTTCTGGAGCTTCATTTCTCTTTGATCTTTGAGGATATATATTTCATGAGTCACCCAGTCGAAGGGCTCGCATCATAACCGGATTAATAAGTGATTGCTTAAGTGATTTTTCCTCTAAGTCGTGCATATTCCTACCTCTGCCACTTTAAGTGCAGTGGTCGACAACTGGAAAGTTCCAAAATTAGAAGTGAAGGAGACGGAGCCGCTTAGACACGCTTTACTGAGGCAAGAAAGTGTATACGTATCTCAGCAGGCAGTGGCATCAAGCCGTCTCTCCAGTGGAGTGATAACCATTGAGGTTCTTAGCCGCTGCAGGAGGTACATGTGTGCGTTGGGGCCTTGGTTATCCTCAGCCAATCAGCGAAGGCCTCAGCGTCCATTTGACTCGGGACGTTAGGCGGACTGAAGGTGGCATGAATGAGCCGTCGTGCTGGTGATCGCAGGAGCAGACTGTCACAGCAGGAAACAGACAATCAAAACATTTTAGATTGGTAGTGGAAGTAAACGCCATTTGGATGGATGTCAACCGATAATTGGATTCACCATCCACTTCGGCCATTTATGTACAAATGGATGACTTATTCTAAGAGCTGCCCTGCAAGTTCACACGCACCCCGAATAGATGACGATGGCCAGGGAAAAAACTTGACATGAAGCTAGCATTCAGAAACTCACGCACAGTTTAATTTGAACCCTTGAGACAGAACAGAAAACAGAACAGAATGTACAGGCCGAAGTATTAACTCAAGTGCACACCAAGTAACAAGAGTGGGCATGGCAGTTGACAAGTTCTATGTGAATTAGGTGCGCGCACCAATTTCTCAATGACAAACGGGGCGAACACAGCCAATGCCGAGGGGATGACGAAATACGATTGACGCGCATTGGCGAGGGCTTTGGTCAACCACGGTATCACTTGTTCGATACGGTTAATAGCTAACTGTTTTTGCACATGACCCAGAAGTCTAACGACGAGCTGGACAACCAGTCTTGAAAACTTACGCAATAAAAGTCACTCTGTTCCCAAAGAATCTCACCTATACTACGCGCCGCTGTGCCGCTGCTGGTTGGGTTCGAAGGGGAGAGCCCCAAAGCATAACGGGACGAGTGAGTTCTTTAGCAAGATCGGTGGACGCACCTCTGCCATCATGATGATGGAAACATGGAAGTTTCCGAAAAGTCAGCACAAATACAGAGTTCTCTTTGGAATCACCACCTTTTCTTCTTCGTCTTCTTTTGGGGATGACGAATGGGCTATATGTGCATAAACATACATATGATGGAATACCGACAAAGATAAGGAAGACCGGGATGGCCATTTCTGGCTTATTAACCGTCATCAGCCAGTCCTATCCAAAAGCGATGTGTGGAACACATGGGACTCAACTCAGTGACCTGTTGGTTGAAATTCCAGCGCACCTAATCACTGAGCCACGGGGTCGCGGTTCTGTAGGTTGCGAGCGAGCATATATAATGGTAGACGAGCTCTAACCGAATTTTAATATGGCTCCACAGACTTCTTTGGCTCCAAAACGGATAACTATAGATATACATTGCCAGAACTTGTGCCGCATTTTTCAGAATGAATGCCTACGTCGACGTGAAAAGCAGAAACTGGCATCTCTGGCTTATTCCTCGTCTTTTACTAGCCATATGGGACCCCAGGTTTGGGTGAACCGAAATTTGGACTCGCACTCTTTTGTTATTGAACTTTATTCCATCGCGCTACAATCAAGCCACGGACATGGCGTCTTATCGACTGGCGTCGATTTATCAAGACCTGAGGCTATGTAATTATTGGTTAACAACGTCTAATAAATCAGGACTGAACACCGCAGTCGACGTTGTTCTTGTCAGAATTCTCTACATCATTACATGTCATTGTACAACTGTCCACAGGATTTAGACAGAAACTACAGAGGAAAACGGGACGAGGATATCTCGTACTGCAACCCAGTCAGTAGATGACCCCCTCGCGATACTGCATTTTCCACTTATGGAAATAAATCTTCGAAAATTCCCACTGAAATTTCAAAAAGACAATTTGGCGAACGCACATCAGCTTTCGATAAATTATCTGCACGCCTGTACATTTACATTTATAGGCCTTCGCCTGGAACGGAGGAATTTACTTGTGAGAGGACCCCGTGGGAAGGTATGGTCATTTGGTATATCAGATAGTTTTTGTACCTGATGAGGAAGGGCGTCAGTCGCATAACTTCCTTGCAACCCAATTTTACAAATTCTATACCAACAGTAAACACCACAAAATTGCTGTACTGATACTGATACTCATTTTCAGACGTAGACTGACTTACAGCCCCCTGACCTTCGATTTCTAGCTGAGTTCCAATTGCAGCCGGTGAACCGATTTCAGCTTGTCTCGGAGTTCGTGCTTTCCGGTGAAAGAGACCAGTGTAGAGAATTTCACATAGGTTAGATTTTCTGGGGCCCATGCGATAGGTTATTTGCAGCCTCCGACTGCTTAAAAGCACGACATGTAAATGACTGTGAATTTTAAAATATTATGATGTCATCTTCTTAAGGTTCATTTACATCTGTCCGAAGTTTATTCTAAGCGGCCTTTGCAGGAACTGTAACGAAGTTTTATCCATGGATATTTACATAACCAATTGGGTCGAGCAAAGATATGCCATGCCCAGCTTGGGATTAATTAGCGAGGTGACCCTTATAGGCTGCTTCTCGGTTTCACACGTGACTTGGATGAATATGCAGCGTTTCGCGATTGAATTAATCGAGATTCATTGTGGTTTTGAAAAAAATGAAAGGCATTTCTACCAGACTCATGCTAAAGTTCAGTTGAATTGGCTTACCTTTTAAGACATGTCCTTGCTGGCTGTCCTCGATAGTAGGTTCATTTTATATGCGCAGGTATTGGAAAATTGGAGCGTAAGGTGTGCAGTTAGGAGGCACACTTGGATGGGTGCTGGGCACGCCATGTAAATGGTGATTGCTCCTCACGATCCTTAACTATAACCAACTTCCCTCTATGGATCCCCTAAGTTTGGCTCCGCCTATCAGCTGCACCCCAGTAAAACCTTCACCGGTGTGTTAACTCAGATGAGGGCATCAGGTGTTGCATGAGTTCCTACACCTCGTTATTCTGTTTCCATCCCCACTCCGATCCCAATTTCTCCTCGCTTTTCCCCTCTATCTCCTCTTCAACTTCAAAGGCTCTATGGGAAAAGCGATCTGCAATCACATAGGCGGCACGGGCTAACTCGGGTTTCTCTCCCCCCCCCCAATCGAGCCGCTACCTGTGAAGTGGCCGTGAAGTGGCTAAAGAAGTTGCCCTAAACAACTACTAGGAAATCCTGCCATCCACAGACATACCGTGGCCCGCAGATTCAAAACTCGCGGTCAAAAACAACAAGGAACAAAAACAATAACAACCCCCCGGTCCCCTTACCCCCGACCTGCCCCACAAGATGTTAGTGTGTGTCAGATCACCATGGCAGTCTAAAATGTTCGTCCCATTCTTGACAATCCAATGAGTGACTCATCGCAACGGCGGATTTCGATAGTCGCCGCAAATTGCGGGCTGCAAAGTGCACGTCACTTCTCTCAAAGAAGCTCGCTTCCTTGAAAGAGGCCAACTGGAGAAGATGTATGCAGGCACATCTTCTTTTGAGGCGGACGCCCAAACGCAGAGCGACGAGACGCCGGCTTCGCCTTTGCCATCCGGAACGACATCGTGGGACGACTGCCCTGACTATCCTGGGGCCAAATTTGCCACAATAACCAGTGTCTGCTCTTCCCCAATGATTAATTCTGATGAGGCAAAGGACAAATTCTATGAGGACCCCCACGCCCTACCGGCGACCGTATGGAGGACGGACAAGTTCATTGCCTTCTATGACTTCAATGTATGCGTCGGGGCAGACAATGTTGCCTTAAAGGGAGAACTGGGTTCCTATGGAATCACCGTTTGCGACGACCACGGCCCTCTCCTCCGCGAACTTATGCAGAACATCCCCTCCTCTTGACCAGCACCCTATTCCGCCTCCCGATGAGGAAGAAGGCAAACTGAATGTCCTCGCAATCGTGGCCCTTGAAGCTGCTGGACTACGTTCTCGACCGAATGCGAAATCGACTGGAGGTGCCGATGACGAAAGAGCCCTGAGTCGCTGACGGTTGAACTGATCGTTGCCTCATTGTCTCCAATATGAGGCTCCAACAGCAACTCTTCAGGAGATCGCAAGGTAAGTGACTCTCAGGTGGATTAACCTCTGTGCTGTTGAATCTGCCTGCTCACTACCTGGATCTCAGCAACCAATTTACACAGCGATTGAAAGAGCTGCTGGCCCCCGAGGACAAGGCCACCGCAGAGACTCAGGTGTTTCATCTTCGGAATGCCATCCGAATCACGGCCTTGGATGTCCTCGGACACGCACTTCAAAATAAGGGCTGGTCTGACGACAGCGGCGTACATATCGGCAGCCTGCATGTCGAACAGCACAGACTGCACAAAGCCCTCATCAGCCGGCTGACCGACGCAAACAAACCGGCCTTCCAGAGAATTCGCCGCCCTGTGCAGCAACAGCTGGGAGAATTGCGCGACGCCGGGGTGGCCAACAGATGCTTAATGCATTCATAATTACACGAGTTCTTTTCAAATCCATGAGACAGGATAAACCTACAATCCCCAAGCTATATGGACTTCCTAACGTTCGATAAACGGCCCTTCCACAGCGGCCGATAATCTCTTCAGTTGGTGCACCATACTACAAAATTTTCAGACGGTTATTTCACTAATTACATCTATTTACAATGGACTCCCAGTACTCCATTGAAGTCTACGATGACTTCTAAGGAAAATTATAAGAAGCGAGCATTGCATCAGACGGGGTAATGGCTTCTTTCTATGTAATCTCGCTCTTTAAATCGGTTCCGCAAGATTTATCAAGACGCTGCACGGAAGAACTCTTTAAGGCTTATACCACTGATATGCTTGCCAATGCTTTTCTACTGCCGGTAAATTTTTGTCTTCAAACCAAACGACACCGTCGACAACTGAAAGGCAATCCTAGGGGTTCACCCCTATCCAGCATTGAGGAGAAGTCCATAGTGCAGAAATTATAAATTATGACATTTTATGAAATTTCCTTTACTGAAGAGTAGCTGGCGACGCCCTGAAAAGCCTACTGAAAACCGTCCGGACAATATTTCAGTTTAAATAATTATGCGTAATCATATTGTTAGCACCACAGTCATTAAACGGAGAACTGTTGAAGTCAGAGACGCAGTTGCTTAGATCAAGTTTAACTGAAGAATCTCCTAACATTAATAAAACGCATTACGGTGCGCCTTTCGGCAAAAGTGACCATGCAACGCTACTGCAGGTTTACTTACTCTACTCCCAATGCTAGAGGAGAGCGGAAAACAGATTTCATCATGAAGGAGAACGGATCGATGACCGTGATTGGGGAATGCCTGCTGAAGGGGGAACTAAAGGACGACTAAATATCCTTTTAGACGAATTGACGAAAAATCCCTATCCGCCTTGTCTTACTGACAAGAGACCTCAAAAGGCAGTTAAGGAAGAAAAGTAAATAATGGAAGATATTCAGGGGAAGTGGGTCAGCAGAATATCTCGAGGAATTTATTCGCGAACGGAATGCGGTAATAGACAGATCCGTCAGGAAAGGAAGAGTTATGACTTAAGAATTACTCGGCCTGCTGAACATAAGTCTCATATTTTATTCCACTATATTAACAGTCGACTGAAAAACAGGGACCCAGTAGCAGTATCTAGAGATTATAACGGTATGTACGCAAGTATTGTGAGGGTTAGGGGCGAAGCTGTATATAACCCTATTATTGCACTGCTAAGGGTATAAAAACAATTATTTACAGTAAGCAAAAAATATGGTCAGCTGTAAAATTTATGGTAATATTTTACATCAAACTTACAAAGACGCTTTACAAAGGAAGCACAACCAGGAAATAAATTTCATGCGTGGCCATACATAGTCCTGCAGCGAGGGTCGCCGATTATTGAGAATCAAGCAGTCCATCCATCTTTTAAATAAAACTACGGTAATTGACGTTACTAAGTCAAATGAGAGTGAATTCCACAGTTGAGTTACCAGGTGGCTGAAAGGAAGTCTCTGCTGGTGTAGACGCGCCCATTCGCGTTTGGACTTGTGCGAATGATTAACCATTTGACTGATATTTGTAAGCTCGAAGAAATCTTCAGATTCGAGCGAACAGTCATGCCGCAAACAGTACGGAAAGTCCACAGTCAAATACGTTTCATTTGCTTGTGGGATATGGAAACAAGCCTAGCTGGGTCAGTCTTTCAGGAAATGGCAGATTCCTAAGACCGTTAGCCAGTTTTATCAACGGTCGTTGCACCAACTGGATGGGGCTATTCCCTGTCTTCATTCTCGGTTTCGATGCAAGTATTTTATATTCAAAATGCGGTCTGACGAACGCGTTATAGACCCCTGCAGTGTAAAAGTAGCTGAAAACGACGAGAAAGTCGAACAAAACAACCGTTTTTTTTTATCTCGGTCTTCACTGGGGAAAATTAATTTAGATTCACAATGTCAACAGTTGTGTTGTAAACCACACTCTCGTGTTGAATGTATACTCGTCGAGGCATCTGTCGTCTAAATAGTGCTGCAGAATCTGAAGGCAGCAAAGTCACCAGGTTCAGACAATATACCAGTCAAGTTCTCGAAAAAACTCGACGTTCATTTGCTGAGAAACTTCCCTACACGTAATTACGACTGTGTCAGTAGCAGGAGTTTGGGTCTGACTCACGTATATCGTGACTTTTAGAGTTCCAGAACTTCTGCTGCAAAACTTTCTTTTATTGTTATTTTAGATATGAATAGGCAGCTCAAGGCCAAAAGCCTTATTCCCTTAATAAACTGGCTTAGGCTCAATTCACGTCGCAGGTAATGTATCACTATGGGCCAAGTATGATAGTGCATATATTACAGGGCCGTGCACAGCAGCTTCGTATGCCTTGGAGAAGGGCGGGTTGTATTCCAGCGTCTTGGAGTTTCCTTTTGTAAAGGTGGATCTCGAATCTTCCACCCGTAACGCCTAATAGCAACTTTTAATTTACCAAATTGTTTTCTCGCGCCTTTTACTAATTCCGGCGGTCTTTTTGAGGCTGTCTGGCGGCGTGCTGTTCTGGTGTTGTTTACCATGGAGGAGTACGTTCGCGAGCCATGGTAAGTTTTTCCTGTTGGGTGTCCGCTTTTTCGCGGTTTTTATTTGCTTATAATTCATCCGGTATGCATATGAGTCCATTGTCCGACAGGGAAGTTTCCCAAGTTTTTTTTATTCGTAAACGATCGTCTGGCCTCGATGCCCCACTACAGCTTATTAATTCCGTTTGGTTTAGTTTTGTATCTGTGGCAGACGAGTGGGCAGCTTATTTCCACATGTTTATCCTCCGCCTTTTCATGCACGCTACGTTTTTCAATTCTGCCTTGCTTTCTCGTCTAGATTGGCGACGAACAATATTTTCCCGAAATTACCATGGCGCGCAATGTTTTAGTCGGCTTGCTTTGTTTCTTCCTATTTTAAAGTCCGTTTCGGATCGTCAGTGACTGTGGGGCAGCGTTTGCCATGGGGACAATCGGTGGGAGTCTTGTACACGCCTACAAGGGTTACCGGAATGCGCCAACTGGCTACTTCCGCAAAATATCCAGTGCCATGGTTTCCGGACGCCAAAGAGCCCCTCTCGTTGGAGGAGCGTTTGCAGTCTGGGGCGGGATGTTTACAGCCGTAGACTGCACCCTTGTATTTGTACGGAAGAAGGAGGATCCTTGGAACTCGATAACTAGCGGCGCTGTCACAGGCGCTGTGTTGGCTGTCCGTCATGGTCCTGCTGCCATGGCTGGACAGGCAGTTATTGGCGGCATCATCCTAGCAATTATTGAAGGTCTTGGTATCATGATGAATCGCTTTGCTCCTATGCTGATGCGTAAGTTATATCGCGAACTGTTTTTATTTACCTTAATTAGCCTCGAACCATTCGGTTTTCTCGAAGTTTGCCTGTCTTGGCAGACCTTAGGTTGTCACAGACACGCTCGAATGTCGTTATATTTTATATTTGCCTATTGATTTAACAACGGAGATTGTAGGCATATGAAAACGTTCGTCGTGCATAGCAGCCTGTTTCGTAGGTATCAGTTGCTAGTCACGATGGAATATTAATCAGATAGATGGGATAAAGTAACCTGTGCTTGTGCGTGCTTAGTTGTTGGAAGGTTGGCGGACTCTCAAGTCGATCACTTGCTCCTTTTATCCTGCACATTAGCAATATCTTCGTCGAGAATTGCCCTTTGTCTGTACCTTAACGTCGCCACAAAGCAGTACAAGTTAAGTTAAGTACAAGTCAAGTACAAGTTAAGAACAAGTTAAATAAAGTACAAGTTTTAAGTAAAGTATTAAGTTTTTACTGCCCTCTGTAATGCACACCAGGGGAGCGTGTTTTAGTCTACCTAAGTTGTTATACACTGCCAATCTGAGATTTTGGTATGCAGTTTAAAAATATGTATAACTGCGGACCTTTTGTCGTCTTCAGCTAAATAAATATTTTTAGTCCGAAAAAATAGGGTAAATTGGGGTCTTAATTGTTTCCGTCCGTCGACACGACCATGCAAGCATGTAGGCTTTTTGGAAATCCCTCTATTCAAGTGAGAAGTGATTATGTTTTGTGACGTGAATCTTACAAGGCACGGGCGAATATCAGGAGTCCACCAGTAATGCGAAATTCATGCGGCGCCAGGAGTGATCATCCACCCTCCATCGCTACTGATACTCAACAGTTTGATGGGGCGGGGGCAACTCCGTATCCATCTGCATAAAGGAAGCTTGTTCTCGATAACAGCCTTCTCTATCACATTTGGGACGCCAACAGAAACCCGTTTCGGTTTCCCTTAACAAGGACGCGTGTTTATCACTCACCGGCCAAGTCTTCACTGACAAGGCGCTCGTGACGTTAGGCAACTGTTGCTGACTTGCTTATTTTAGATTTAAATAAACCTGAAAATGTCCGAATACAGTATTACGATCCATGAGAGTAGCTGACGGTTTGCAGCATGCATATACTCGACGTAGATGTCTGCTGCCTGCCCTCAGTCTTAATCCCAGACACAGTCCCCGGGAAATCAGGCCTCCGCCAGTGGACTCTCTTGCAACGGTCCCTACAATTCCTGCGATAAACGCGGTGCGGTAATCGCCGAAAAGGCGATCCACGCATTGTTTCGTCCGAACAAGTCAGTGACTACTTGCAATATGTGCAACTAAAAAAACTTTAAATCATATTGTTTTCACCTGCACCCCAGTACGAGCTGCCAAACAGGCCAGCAGATAAACGTATTTGCAAATGCAACAAGTGGCTGAAGGACTCTTGCAGTGATCCGCTTAGCGCCGAGTTCATGCCGAAATTGGCAGTGTCGGTGGGTCAAACCTTCTCCTAGCTTACACACGCCTAAAAGTCCTCTTCCATGCCTAAAATGTCTCCTGTTGTAAAACAACCGGGACACTGAGGAAGTCTGGTCTTGCACTGCAGTCCGAGACGCACGAACTTGCAGCAACAAACACTTGCTGCTAAAGTCCCTTGTCAAAGTCGGGCGATTAGGTCAGCTTGGGAGCCTCACAGTTGTCTGCCCGGCCAACTCAAGCCTGCTCGAGCAACGAGGCTTAATCTTATTAACTTTGGCAAATGCTGGTAGTCAGCCAAGTATGACTGTAAAATCCCTTGCACTGGAGTGATGACTTTCACGAAACGGATCACAAACGCCGACGACACTCGAAAGCCACTAGTTTATTTGCCAAGTTAACTGCTCGCGATCTAAATTATGACTTTATTTCTGACAACTCGGCCAAATTCGAGCGACAAAATTAGCACTTCTGGCACTTTTGACGCAATACTGAGACTGCAGCAGTAAAACACCCACAGTATGACGTCCCTGTTGAAGTCGGGTGTCTGCCGCAACAGAAGTCCTTCCGATGCTGCTGTAATGGTCTTTGCCGTGTTGTTTTAGTGTGTTTTTAAATTGTCTACGAAGAAACTCAACCAAACCGTACGTGGGTGCACTGACAAAATATTTGTCATAACTTTGGGCGATAGACGGCTGTCCGCCCTGATGAGTTTGCCTGTGTTCAATTTCGTTCATCGTTAATGTATGGCAACGGGACTCGGTGTGCCGGGAATAAGTAATCGCCGTAATCAATTCTTCCTGGCTCTCCAGCACTGTGCTAGTTTTGACTCAACAGTCTCTCCCAACCGTTCTATGTTTGGTCTGGCGTTCGGGGAAATTGCATCCTGTCTCCCCTTCTGTCTAATCGCGTCTTTGACTGGATTCCAGTAAGGGTACTACGTCTTCATGGTGGTGTCGAATTTCCGTCAGGATTTCGACTGACCGATTTTGAAGATAGATAAATAAATAATTTTATTGAGTAACCTTCGTATCAAACGATGAGTACCACAGAATACGTCTCGAACGAATGAGCTGGCTATATCAGTGAATTTATTTGCTAATTCCATAGAAGGCAAATTCTGACCGGGAACAGGCTGGCAGCCCGATGAAGTGAACGACTTCAAGTATCTCGAGACGAACTTGGCCACCAGACACCAGAACAAGAATAAGATAAGTTACGGAATGGATGCATGCTCTGGGCGGTGTATGTGGACCCTTAGCGATATGTTATCTTTTTCCTCGAAAGAAGCCAGCCTACGTTTTTGACATCCGTTTCACAGAGGTTGTCTTGGCTGTCGCGAAGCCCATAGTATGAGTCGGTATTTCTTATTGAGGAACTTGCGTACCCTGGTAGTTCATGGTTCTAATTCAGGTAGAATCCACCAGTACTCAGCCTGTCCGTTTATGCGGAAGTTCAGCACGCGATGTCACAGTATCATCACTGGACTCTACAGTATTTACGGCGTATTCGGTTTGCCAAACTTCCCCCTTCACATACTGCAAGCACCCCCACTGCTGCTCTGCGATTACCTTGATAAAATTCTGCTTTTGCAACTGACCGTCACTGAACGGTGTTCCACTACTGGTGATACATGATCGCGCAATATAACCAACTGCTGGGCTGGCAGACAGACCCCGTCTTTGTGAGGTGAGGTACCCTGCATAGTTCAGGCCACCGGACATGTGAGAATGAATTTGGACTTGTTATTTGTCGTCTCCAACATCAGTTTATTACTTTTTTGTCTAAATCTGGCATCGACGGCTAATTGGGGGCAGGAAAGAAATCAGTCATCAACTTTGCTCTACACATTCATAACAGCATGGAAGTGGTCCTCCAACCTTCAGTATTCAGTCTCATGGGTGAATCATGTCCTCCGGGCTGATCGCCACCGATCGTCGCGTGTGAAGAAGTACCGTCTGCAATCTCCAGATCAGCTAAATGTGCCTTTATCATGACCGTGTAAAGTGTAAGCAAGTTCTTTCTTCGGCCGTTGGAGCGCATGCCGTCAAATTAGGTGATTACTTTCGCTGTTCGCCATCTGTTTTTGCATGTCAGCCCCCTTTTACTGAACAACATCTCAGTACCTCCGCCAATCTGCACAACTCTCCTCTTCAAGACGTGTAGTTCGGCGTTATCTAGATGGGCCTTTAGGCGTACGTCTCGCGCATTGAATTCCTTAGTGATAAGTCCCTGCCGCCCTCTGGATTACTAGACCGCGCTGACCGACTTCGTTACCTTCAAGTCGATCGTTCTTTAAGACGCTAAGATTATAGCCAGGACTGTAACATTACAGGTTTTGGACCGAAATAATCCACAGCAAATTCCTTGTACCAGTTACCGGGTCTTCTTATTTTCAACCAATTTGTAGAACTGCGTTTTCTGCAATGTCATCCTGCGCAAAAATAAAGTTGGTTTCTCAGGAGTTGTGGGATTGCTGCGTTACGAGATCTCGTTCATAATGAGGAGGGTTGCTGCAGGGTGTATGGAGATGGACGAGGGAGACTAGCATGGCTATTCCCAGCTTAGTAACCGTCGCCAGTCGGCCGTACCCAACCTCAGGTCCGCTCGACCTAGAATTCGGGCCCCGGGTTGTGTGTTCACTGGGCGTTATTAAATTTAACAGTACCACTGAGCCACGAGCCCGTTATCTGGACATTTGTGATCGGGAATATTTACTGTCGTGGGAAGGAGGCGTTCGCCGATTAGGCGACTTCACGCGCTCGTTTTGTTCCGCTCTGAGACTCAATCTGAAACTTTCATAGGCAGTCGCATAGCAACCGTTGACATAGCCAAGAAGTACCGACATAGACTGGGGAAATTGTGATGCATTCTGTCCGTTTCGCCTCCGGACAAAGATGTCCCACAGCTGTCAGCACCGCGATTGAGGGTGCTTCCTCCCACATCGGAAGGCTGAAGGTGTTGGTCTATATGAGGCGCTGATCTGCGCAGGTTGCCACGAGGATATGGAGACAGTTATCGTCGAAGCTGCCGATTCCATGGTGATCCAGCAATTCTTCCTAGACTGTGTGGTTCGTCTCGACGCGGGCATTGAAGTCACCAAGAACAATCAAGTTGTCCGCCTTCGGCACAGTCGCCAGGATGACATACAGGTTTTCCTAAGACTTGTTCTTCGCCACCTTTAAGCTGGTCATCGGGTAATGTAGACGCTGACAACGGTGGCGACTTTGACTCCCCGTTTTCGGTTACCATTTTTGAGTACTATTACCGACACTGTGATGCTTGATTCGCGTAGATAATAATGTTCACCATTCTCTCAGTCGTTTATTTTTGATGTTTTGAGCAGAACGCTCTTATAGCAAAATTCTTTCCTATCTTATAGTACTGCAGGCAGCTTTCCGCTTGCATATGGTCGTCACTTAATCTTCATATGTATGGAGCGTCAACTCCACCAAGCGTTACCAAACCTCTGTAATCAACTTACCGGGACACAAACCTACTAGTATTGAGAAGGGTTGCTTCATTTTACACACAACTAACAGTTACATGTGTGCTCTAGTATATCCAAGACGGTTTTCCCACACGGTTTGCACTTAATTTTCTTTTTCCATTTAAGAACCACCTGAAGAACCTCCTAGTCCAGGAGGATCAGAAGGAGGTGACAGCGGCGCCGGAGGCAGCTCCCTTTTCAGCTTCTTCTCTCGTGGTGCCGGTGATGAGAAGGCCTCACAACAACCCTTAACGCCATCCTCGTCAACTGAAAGCAAAAGCTCCGGCAGTGGCTTTATTTTCCAATGATATTTTCTAACTGTCGAGCCATCGTCTAGCCCCAAACCTCTCCGCCCTTGTACAGTTTGGCTTGTCCAACTTCCTACTGATTCCTTTTTTATCAGTTTGTCTCCTCCACAGCCACTTAGTAATTTTCAGTCCTTTTGCGCTCTGCTATTTTTGTCCAGAGTTCCTCGACTAGTGTATATTCAAGGTCGAAGATGCTTCATCGTGGTAAAAACCTCGTTGCCTTGGGGTCCTATCTTTGCAATCTAGTCTGCGTGCCGCACTGGTTTGTAAGCAGTTTGCTCTCGTACACTGTGGTTGGAATGAGTTTTATACCTTTGGTTCGTGGCTCTACTGTTATTTAGTAAGGCATTCAAGTTCCTTCTGCGGTTATGACTGGCACTTCTCTAGTCCACGTCTTGTTAACGCCAAGTGTCTGTTGCTTGACTCGTCCTAAGTTATTCTACCACCCTGTTTGTGTTGCTGAGGACTTTCAAGTCGTTCACAAAACTCTCATAGACATTTTCCTTGTAGTTTGTCATAGAATGCCTGTCTTTCTAACGTACTGTCACAATTGGACGTCTCTTCCCCCTTTCCCTACTATGGGTTCTGGCTCGCTTAGAAGAGAAGTAGGCCCTGTTCGTTTCCCCTTAAGGCTGTCTACTATAACGTCGCTTATTATTAGTCACAGGGTTCTGCTGGAAATGTTAGGTGGTCTGGTGGAATGACGGAGTTCGAATGTCTATTGGCACTGCCCCACCGTCTTGCATGGTCAAGTCATCCGGCTAGCTTTCGGATTTGCAGGGCCTTAGTGTGCGTGGTTGCCACCAATGAACCCGACTGCCTGGCTAGACGTAATCGGTTTATTTGCTATCCGCTGAACCATTCCGTAACTATCTTACTAGTTTCCTTCCGTATTTTCTCGTGAATGACAGGCGCTATCTTATCTCATCGAGCTTACGAAAAGGTCTGTGCTGCGTTGAATGAAACGTTTTCTCGCTCATCAGAGTGCTCAAGTATGAGCCCCCGCATTGTCCGTGTTGCGTTGACTGTCATTTGAACCAAAACATAGGTGGCCATTATTAGAGAGAATGCGTGTGGGAGGCGCCTCATCAAGACAGTGAATACTTAGAGGTTTTGTAGTCATTGACGGATTTAGCGAAGACGCATTTCGATGTAGACTGTCTTGTTTTGTTAAGGGTTTGGCGTGCCGCGCTAATCCCAGGTGTGCCGGTCCTTTGTGCCATTTCGTTCGGCTTTTTCTGTTTCAAATGCTGCTTGTTGACGGTCTATTTCTCTACACTAGCCTCCCAGTCGGACCAGGCAGGTGCCGGAATTCTACGTGAACAACTGGATGTCAGCGCGGATGTCTCTAAGCATGTCTGCCTTTGTCCTCGATGTGGTGGAACTTGGGCTTTCCACCGTCAGAGCCCAAACGCGTAGATCATTCCCGTTCCTATAAAGTCACCCTTAGTGATCGTGTGCCCATCACACTACCTGTGTTTCTTTGCGTCATCATTGTTGATTTCCGCCTTAGCTGTCTGGAAGTTTTGCGACAAACTGCGCTGTTACCGTTAGCGAAGAGCGCTGAACTAGACTGTTTTCTCTGGAATCTTTTAGCAATTATATTACCGATCATTTGGACCGTTATGAATGCGAATTCGCAAGCCAGAAAATTTACCACGGGAAGGCGCCGAGTAACTGATCTCTTGTCCCGGTCGAGTGCTCTGTCGTGTGAGCTACTGGGGCAATCCCATCTGCTACGTGAAATTCGAAGTTTGTTTCTGGCTGTTGAGGCGAGTCGTGTGCGGTCCGGAAGATTTCGGACCACGTAGATTCGTATTTTCCAATAGTTTGAAGCAAGACTGCCGTTAAATTTTCGGACCATAGCATACTTTAGCTGTACGGAGGTTTTACCGAACAGACAAGCCAGCATGTTAAGTCTGCCGTTGGGACTCGGTTGTTTTTTGCAAACGGGAGCGGAAGAATGACGTTTATGAAGATTGTTAAAGATGGCAATAATTTCTAGATTTGGCGGCCTACGTATGTAGTACACGGTATTTCACCTCGCGGCGAAGCAGTCTGATCCCTGGAAAAATGTGGCAGAATAAAATAATGTTTGCAAAGTAAAGGACCCAAACAACTGAAAGTGCCGCAACGACTATACTACGGACTGTTATACCAGAGAGAGGGATCCATTAGAAGGCGGAAAAATAAACGCACGTGAATGTTCCTAGTCGGACTGAAATTCGACCAATCAGCTAGTTTTGTGAAAATGTGCATGAAAGGATTTAGAAAGCCAGTTGAAGAGCATATGCTTGTTTCCTATAAATTCTCTTGAGGCCAGAATATCTGTACGACGCCGAAAACCTGAACCTAAACGGAATGGTGATGTTCTCGATAGACGTCTTATCACTCTTTAAAAGCCTTTTGGTCACCGATTACTTTTACGAATTCATATCGGCCAATCGGCAGGAAATGTTAATACCATCGAGCGCTCTATTTAAAAATCAACTATGTAGACAAGCAGGTGGCTTCGTTATGGACTTGGCTCTTGGTTCTCACTTAGTTTATGTCCCCACAGACACGCTGGATAAATTTTGACTAAGTGGCTGCACCAGTTGTCTAAAACTTTTCGGTCGCTGTATTGATGGCATCTTTGCAGTTGTCATCACAGAAACCAAAATTAGCTGGGTGAAGATACTGTATGCGACCCAACTCAGAATAATATTTATTCCAACCTACTCGTTTGTGAAAGTAGTGGTGTCTAGTTTCGGCAACTTCCAAAAGACGATCATTATCCATCGGTTTTACCGTGGTGGGGACGAGTCCATTGCCGGTTAGTCAGGATAAGACAAAGCTTATGACGGCTTTCTTCCTGTCAGCTCGGTGAACTTCCTAAACTGAAACCTTTAGTTAAAGGCAGCCATCATACGGTTTTACCCCGGCTGGAGCGGGTTCACTCGGTTTGCTTTCACTAGAATATCTTACGACAAGTTACTTCAACTCCACCAATTCCTCCGCCACTCGGCTCCCCACTTGCCGACATGCTTTAGGATAGCTTGCTTCGCGTCATCCCATTGCATCCCTACACGGAAACCTTTCGTAAACGGGAACCATCCATAGGTTTTACCCTGGTTGGGAGCTGGTACATTGCCCGTTACACGTTTTGCCTGTAATTGACCTAGCTTACGACAGATTACCTGGATTCCCTGTCGATGACAAATCGTACGACAGCTTACTTCCTGCCATCGCACTGCATCCTAGCACGGAAACTTACAGTAAACGGCGACCCTCGTATGTTTTCATCCTGGTTGTGTACGAGCCAACTGTCCGTTATTCCGTTTGCTGGTCCGTAACATAACTTGCGCAAGTTGTCTTTTTCACTTGTTATATTCTCACGTGAATGGTTAGCAGAACAACCAAAAGGTGAAACTTGAAGCAGTAGTTCCTCGGAATGAATTTAAAGCAAGCAAGGACAGCAGGACTTAATGGTACCAGAAAATTTCGCGACGGCTTCTCAACTGCAGCCTGTTGTTGCATAACACAAATAACAAGTGAGAAAGGTACATAAGTTTGAATTTCGACAGAGAAAATCAAACTTATGTACCTTTCTCACTTGTTATTTGTGTTATGCAACGACAGGCTGCAGTTGAGAAGCCGTCGCGAAATTGTCTGGTATCATGAAATTCTGCTGTCCTTGCTTGCTTTAAAGGGTGAAACATCAGAGTCGCAATGCATCTAAAGGTAGTCTTCACCAGAAACGGCTGCTACATGTTCCGTATGCCTTGGATTGGACGAGTCTGCTTCACCGGATAGGCTTCGGCGACGTGTTCAAGTAAAGTATGCTTAGCTACGTTCAGACTGCTTCGGCCAAGGTCAAACCATATTCTGTCCTTGGCCTCGTCCAGGTTAGCCCATGGAGATTTTCCGGACACCGGCCCACTTTCATGGAGTTCTTCTGAGACGGCTCCAATACGCCTATATCGCGTTCGTGTGGCGGCCTCTGGTTGGATCCACGGAATTTCATGAGTGATTGACTGTATAGTGTTCATAACCGTCAGATGGCGGGCGTTTATATGCCTTCCATTCCCCCGTTACTATTACATTTCTGTCGGCCGCCCACTTCTTGATGACGACTCTTAAGAACGGCCAGCTTCTCTCATTGACTTGCTCGAATAAGGCCTTTGTATATGCGTGTCGTACAAAACGCTAACCCAGCAATGTCGACATAACCCCTCAAAATTGTATTTCCTACGGTTGATGATCGTTCCTTAAACATGATTTTCAGTTCCGGGGCTGCTAATTTGTTGTGTTTCGCGCAGTAGCACGGTTGAGCAGACGTCTCAGCAGGCGCGGTACCAGCCGACAAGGGTGTCATACGCGAACTTAACTTCCTCCCCGCACTAATTCATCCTGTCGGCCCTCACGAAAGCGAGCACTATTTTCATAATGTTCGTTAACGTCAGGCGACTATTTTCAAGCAGCGAGGCACCTCGAACTAACTTCTGCCGCCGAGAACGGCCGTAGTGAATGACCACACCGTCAGGATACAGTCTCAGCACATGCAGTTTCATCTGCCTACGGCATACACAAGTCTGGACTGTTGGAAGTAGCCTGAGCTCCTGGAAATACGTTATCACATTCAGCATTTCAATCGCTCTTCTAATCTTGTCCGCCATTTTCGGTGAATCGTTTTGGCGGCGTGTACGCCTCTCGTCTTGCTCGTTTGGGTTCCACAATAAGAAGGCCTAAATTAGTTAAATTTCCCAACTACTTTGCTTGCGTCTTAAAAAAATCTGCTTCACGCTTAGCGCCAATTGGTCTGTCTCACCTTCACTTATATATCAAAATCACTTCAGTTGCAGCTTCGCTTGAGCGTCTATCTAGTTAATTTTACATTTTCTGGCCTTGTGAGCCGCTTGGTTGTGTTCAACTGTACTCCGGCCTAAAGGTCTGCAAGCGTCTGTTATTTCAGCATCAGCAAACCATGGCCCTCGCAGCCTGGGACGCGCTAGTAGTTC